AGATATATGTTCTTAAATTAAACTTCAAGCCATATCTTTTATGTAACAACTAGAGTTACTCATCAGCTGACTCGTCCAAATTAGTGGAACAGAGGGAGCTTATTTATAGAAGTTGCAAATTAGGTTCTTAAGTTGGTTGAGACACAATTCTATTCTCCTTACTGAGTAATATTTGACGTGCTATTTTGCTTTAAATTAAACGGTCTGTTTAACTGAATTGTCTTTTTTTTTACAGTCTCAGATACTTTTTAAATTATGATTTATGGAAATCTTTAATATGACTAAACTTTTCGTTCGAATTTATTCTGAATGACAGAATAATTGTGAGACGATTCATCTAAGCTAATGAAGTCAGATACCTGGAACAAAGTAATGAATAGCTAGGGAAGAACTAAAGACAACAAACAACTCTATACAGATGCAGTTGGGCTAGAACATAGGTTTCCCAGCTGTCAAAATTCTGAAAACAAATGAGGGAGTTACTATGAGAATTATGCTTCCGTGTAACATTTATAACATAACGTGACTATTTAGCATAAATAATTCTTGTAAATTACCATACAGTTTTCGTTAACTAATGGTTGTATAAATAATTTCGCAAAGCATACTTTATTCAGTAGATTTATCAAGTCTAATTATTAACTGTTTGTTTGAGTGTTAGTGATACCTATCCAGTTGCCGAAATCATAATAGATAAGCTATTAAACGAACCTACAACTGACTGTTTGAAAGCCGATTACTTTAATCACTAAATCATTGTATTTCATTTGTTCAAAGCGCACTCAACTGCAGATCACATCATGCCAAAGCTTTAAGTTCGCTTATTTTGGTTTAGATATCAATGTAGTGTGAATAACCACTCGAAATCTATGACTTAGGTACATTAACCTATAGGTCAATCTTTCAATTATTTTAATTTCACATAGACGACTAATTATTTACTCATTTTTCACTTAACAGCGAATAGTCAAACTTTTTAACCTCATGTTGTAGGGCTGATGCACTCCTAACTGAAATACGTAGTTACTCGATTTATTTAAATGTCGTCATGAACAATTTCTAGACTGCAACTTATTAAAAAAAAGTAATTACTAGTACTCAAAATGAGAATAATTTATTCCTGATGTCGACCGCCAATTCAGATGGTCTGTGTGTGTCGATGATTTTAGTCTACTTAGATGGTGTAACCTAGCTTACAACGAAGACACACCTCGCAGTTGGTACCTGACCTGGCTTATCCTGTTGTGATAACCATGTGAATCGGTGAAACAACAACATGTATTAGTAAGAACAGATTAGAGAAGTTCAGAGTTCAACTGCTGCTGCATATGTCTATCTGTGGTGTGTAATTAATTAATTAATTAATTCGCGTTGGCTATCCTTAACTTTGAAGAGGCTCAGTAAACTATTTAGTGATCTACCATCTAACATAGAAACGGTTCAACCTGGTAGATAGTTTGGCTAGGGCTCACTGACATTTCTCTGGCCCCATAATAATTCCTTTCCAAATTCATTTCAAGAATCTTTATATGTTGGTCCTTTTTTTTTCTTAGTAATCATCTGAGTTAAATTAATTAAACGTGCGTAAATTTACCCCAAAAGGATCATCAGTTTATAGTTTATTCGTTCTTTTGGGATTGCTAAAAACCTTATTACTTATCTCAGGTTTAGTGATTTTCGCAGAAATATGTAGCTCAAGTGATCATCACACTTGTAATAACATTTGATCCATTGTCTTTCTGTAAACTATAATTAAAACTTTGTAAGTACTTTCGTCTAGATTTGAATGAATAGATTCACAGTATTTGGGCGCTGAGTTAATGTACAACATTAAAGAGAAAGAATATATGTATAAAATCCCAGAAATTGAATCTGAAGTAAATTCAACGTTTCCCTCGGCAATTTAACCCCAGTTTATTTCCTTGAAAAAGCTAGGACCAAATTGCCAATCGAAATTTTGGAGTCACATATGAACACTTTTGGTCAAAACTAGCTACATATGCCCATATTTGGTAAATAAGTTACATAAAAGAAGGGCTGTTAACGTTTTTACTAATCTAGTTACAAATTCCTGCAAAAGTTGACCTTCATTACAACATGATTACTTAGTTGTACCAATTTTTTGATTTTACTAGTTGACATTCTTTTAGCTAGTTTTTTTCTTATTCAGACTGGCTACTAAAATTCAGACGGAGATATGTTGAAAATGTCGCAATTCGTACTGAACTACACACTAAAAATATACATCCTTAACAATAAAAACCTTCTGTGTATCATTTTCTTCCCACAAAAGGTGTCAAAGTTTATTATATGGCTCTTAAAAAGTACTTTTAAGTAAAGCAATCAAAACAGATAACCCATCAACCTCCATTAGGCTTATGTACACATTAATACAAATTCACTTCATCAATGTAATCATATTATAATAGAGTATTGGTAAGTTTACTGTATCATTAGATAAGGATATGACTCATCCATCAGATATTGCCGTTTCCATGATTAGGCAAATTTATTCAATCAATTACAGGAATCTAAGTCGTTTACTTATTACTTCGTAAAGTAATCTACATCAACTTTGACCAGTTGGGAATAAGCTATTCACCTACCAATTCGTACTTAAGTTACAACACTTGACCTCTGTATCCTTTTCTTTTTTAATAATTACAAATAAGGAATTCTTTTGGAAGAAAGAGGGAAATGTTTACATCATCTTTATATATTCCCCTCTAAGTTTGTGTTTACAATTTAGTGAAACTTATTTTCATTAATTGAAGAAATATGTTGATAATGAGCATTTCAAGTGTATTTTTTATTGACTAAAAATAAAGTGGATAGAACATTAACAAGGGGATAGAAAGTTTATTTCCTTAGTTCTCCCCGCCTTTCTAATAGATAGTTTAGTCTAAAATAAAAGATGTTGATCAAGTTAGGTAGCTTTTTAAAACATAGGTCTACCTAAGACTATAAACGTGTGTGTGTGTGTGTGTGCCTTGGTCGCATGAGATACCATACTGTTTACCGTTAATTTTAGGCAGAGTCCATCATTCGTGTCAAGGTCACTGATATGTCAACCACGAAAGCAGCCAGACGAGGTCGTTTAGTTAGAACAAATTAGAAGGTCATTGTGATTATTTGTTAGAGAGCATATTTAAGCTAGAAGAATGCGAGATATGTAGAGAAATAGACATATTGGATAGGAAGCAGGATTTTATTTTGGTCGTTTGATAAGCGAAAAAAATGTGTCTGTTATTTACACTGTAATCTACTTCAAATGATAAAGTAAGAACTGTTCACTTGTTGATGTGTTACTGGGCCTAGTAATCAAAGATAACTCAAAAAATGAATAGCACATACACGAATTCTTTTCTCCAATTGAGAGTTTTACTAATTAATAGACCATTCATAGTTCACTAGAACTATCCGTCCCTGCGTAATTAACCATTTTAGTAAAAATACTGGAACTTTTCTCATCTACATATTCCATGCTTCGCAGTGATAGAAATAAGACACACATCTGTTCCCATAGTTTGTTGCAGTAAATACTCTTCCAAGTCTCTTCACTTACATCCAAAATATCAATAATTAGATAGGTATGAATGGATTTGTATGAGTAAATGTAAGGAAAAGCAAAATGACATTTCATAAATTGATGACTGGTGTTTTCAACGGCACCATGATTTATGGACGAATCAATCAGATTTAATACAGAGACATTTCCATTTTCTCGTGAAGTTCATTCATCCACATAGCTAAATAGAATTTTGTCATTATAGTTAGTGTTGGTTCATGATGAACACACTGATTTCTAACTATAATTCCTGATCCCGTTTCCTCACGTTCATTTCTAACCCTTCCTTGGGACTTATAATTGTTTGAACTTCCTTATGGCCATTTTAGCATCGCTCAAATGTCGTCCATAAACCATGATCTCATCGCGTTTTCTTTCGAACGCTTGTATTTTATTGTCTTAAAATATTATTTCCAGAATATATAAAGAAATTTGAATTTTCGAATTCACTGAAATTCATGATATGGGTCTTCTTCACATTGAATTCTTCAATAAATTTATTTTAAACTAGGATATACTATTGACTAGTGTGTTTGATGGCATGTTCTTTTGCAGACCATACATACCTACTAGTAGTTTCAAACTAGAGTATTGTTTGAGTATTCTGTGATTTAGGTATTCTATTCAACAAAGGATAATTAGCCGTAATATTCAGTAGATACATTCCATCCTTTTTGTTATTTGTCAGTACTTACATATATCACTAAGTTTTGATATTCTCAGTGGAAACTAGACTTCATCAATCCCTATGGTTTCAGATATTATACATTTATCTGCTATCTTAATGAACGTTACCTGAGAAGTTAAATGTATTAAACCTTATTCGTAGTTTGGAAATTTTTATATGATTTCAAATATTAAACTTTGATAACTAATCTTTCAAAAATTCTTAATTTTATGTTTGTAATGCTGATGTTACTGATAACAATTTAAGTAAAACAATTTACAATAATTCACTTGGTATTGTTTCCTTAAATCTTCTTATCGATGTTTAGGACTGCTATTGATCAGTCCCTTGTTGGCGCACATGCATCCTGTGCGTATTGCCTTAAGTCACAAGCTTTATAAGGGATGATGAATAGTGCCTATTAATGGAATCCAGGATGCGCGTTTCGTCCTCTAAATAACAATGGGAAGATACAAGCAAACAATGCGAAGTGGATTTAAACTTCACCCCATTGCATAAGCAGGTGGCTATCAGGACTCAGTAGTTAAGTCCCAGAGTGAACATAAACTCTGAGATGAAGTTACATCCAGCTGACGCGTCCCAAATAGGACGAAACGCGTGTACTGGATTCCACTGCTGGCCACTATCCATCTTTGCTTATAATTTACAGTAATGTTTAATATTCAACCTATTTTATTGAGATTCGAGAAATGCCTAGGAAAATGAGGAAAAATATCAAAATTTTGTTTATTCTTTTACTTTCAGCTTCATGACTGATCGACTGCAAATTTGGGGGTAATAAAATACAAGAATATAACTAGTTTCTACAAATTTTTTTGTTTTACCAATGTCGACAATATCTGCTTGTTCAAATAAGTTAACAAATGAACGTCATAGTGGGAATATATCGACTTCACTGATTGAAAACTTTAATATACATCATCATGGTGTTCACAGTAATCATCATCAACATGACAATACTTTATATCCAATGAATCACATGGCTACACCAAGTCCATCTCCTTTTTCAAATGAAAACTCATCTGAACAACGTCGTCAAAATACATCGTTACCCGCACCGCATTTATTGTTGCAATCGAAATCAGATTATTCACGACCATCTGTGTTAAATACACACATTCATAATAGTAACAATAATAATAGTAATAGTATTAATCGTGCTAACAATTCATACTGTACATCAAATAGTTTAAACTATTCAAATAATTCAGAGGCTGTGAATTTGAATCATTGTGATCAAACTATGGAGATTAAACAACCATATATTAATACAACAACACCTACTACTACAATCACTAGTACTGCTGTTAGTGTTACGAATAATTATCATAATGGTACAAGAAATAATTACATTTATCAACGTACTAATTTACTGAATTCTCAATATGATCAGTTGACTGATTCTATAGCCTATAATGATAGTAATAATAATGATAACAATAATAATGAATACATGAATTATTCAAATATGCCAGAAAGTGAATTCGGACATTGGAATACTAGTTCTCTTACAGATGATTTGAAAATCAACTCTAGATCAGGATTTCGTCCTCATCTGATTGATGATACTCAACAATTGTCGTCATGTGTAAATGGATTTCCAGTATTATCACCTACTGGGAATACAACAGTTTTCTCAAATATGAATCGTTGTCCAACAACTTGTCCAACACCAAGACATGACGATCATTCAGGACATCAAACGGGATCTCATATAACTGCAGGTAGCCATACACAACATCATGCATTTCAAGCTAGTGGATATTGCAATATTGGAGATAATATTTATGAGAATAGAACACATAGCCCATCTAATTTGACTTGTGGACAAAATATACTTCACTCAAGAATCAATTGTGATGTAAAGAATCCACCCCAAGTTTCTAATCGTTCTTCACGTAGTGCCTCCACACCAACACGATTATTGGTTGTTTCAACAGCAAGTCCGGTGACAAGTACAATTACCATGACTCCTGATTCTTCAACTATAGGTTTTTCAGGCAATAAATTTGGTTGTTCATCAGATGATGGTGAAGCATCACCGACGCCGACATGTAGCAGTGGCTGTCCACAAACTCCAGGAAGAACAAGAAAACCTGCACCTACATTAGCTACTGGGCGAAGAAATCTGAAAGGCGAACTAGTAAGCTAGAATGAAGTTTATTTAAAAAAGATAATTAATTGGATTATCTTTAAATTTAGAACATCATATTTTCTCATCCCTTTACATCATCATGGCCATAAATGAGTAAACTGTTTAACTTAATCAAGGTTTAAATCCTAAACGTCACTGATATGTTCCTAGTATTCTCTCATATAAAATAAAAATAAAAAAAGATTTGGGTTCATTATTGAAAACAAAGACACTTAATAACCCGGATTTCACCGTTAATTCTCTGTTTTGTTAGCAACCCATGAATTGATATTCGATTGTCCAATGTATAAATTGCATACACACCGTTTAGTGAGTAATCGAACTTTGCCCAGAATCAAACAATGAGAAGCCTAGAGATCCGAACTGCAGATTGTTAATAAAGTGATTATATGAGTATTATTACATCACATTACTGTCTAATTAGGACAAGGTAATGAATATCTCGCGATGTCAGAATGATGTGGAAGCTCATAAAAGAAGTCTAAATAGGAAATTGAAGTACGGAATTTCTAAAATCAATAATGGTATTACGTTTTTTAGTCAAAATGACATTGAATACCTCCAGAACATTTCAACCATGGCTTTTTTTATCTGGAAGCTCATCGGTATAGTTGATTGAATATAATAAAGCTATCCTATAGGTATCTTGTTTTTTGGCCTTATGTCAGAGTAAGCATTGATTATGTGATCTACCGTCATTATTACTACAGAATTTTTTCTAGCTTTGGATTCTTAGAAATTAGGATAATAATAATTTTTATGGTTTGACAGAAATATTTGATGATCCATCATCAAGATCTGTGTACTCTAATTATTCCTTAGGCGTTTCCCGAAGATACCTCACTATAAAAAATACATTATGTGATTCATACAAATTCTTAAGGGATATATCTAATCGAAAAATATACTTGCCCTACACTTATTTCTAACAGACCGTGACCATATTATATCAATATGCATTCAATGCATGGAAAAATCTTTCCGGATTTATAACGATAGCCAAATCTAATACACTTTTTTTTTGTCTGGCCTTACTACAGATAGGCGTAGGTAAATCAAACTGTTTCGCTAAATTTCTACCAATTTCAGGTCGATACATTTTAAGGTCAAATTATTAACCAATCAGATTACAAAAGAGTTCTTTTAATTATAATAATGAGTCATAGTTCGATTTCTCCCTTATCCTACTTTTTCTATTTAGAGTGTAAAACTGCTTCATGTTTGGTGGTAGCTTAGTATTTGGTTAACAGACAGACAATAATAATTGGAATGTGAAAATTATATATAAAGTGTGATTTTACAATGGTTACTATAATTTATACTTAATATTGCATATTTTTGGTTCACTTCATTATTAACTTATAATATCGTTTAATGGAAAAACATCTTCATCCATTATTTTGTCGTTTTTAATGTTTAGTTAGATGAACTATTTCGATCTACTGTCAGTCAGTTCTGAGTGTTAAGTTTTTTTTAGATCACTGTCCTGTATCATAAAGTAACTAGTATGACAGGAAGTTTGAATAGTTTTCTGGTTAGCGTTTTTTTACCGAGTTAGCTTTCTATGGGCTGGGGTCGCTAACCCCATACCCGACCCTCCTCCTTTATCCGGGCTTGGGACCGGCAGTAGGCCCTAGAGGGGCTTCAGGCGGAGTGGATAAGCTGTTGTCAAGGGTTTGTTTAATAATTCCCAATTAAGTTAATGCCTTTTCTGATGAGTATTACCACTCAGTGCACAATACATGACTATCTTAGCTCAATAGAGAACACTATCATTTGAAGACAATCAGACACACTGAGATAACAAGACTCATTTCATATGTTTGATGTCAGTCGGCTACTCAGATCTGTCTGTAGAGACGTAACCAACTATAGTGCCGGAGCATTTTTGGTTCTAAATTAAGTTCTCGATAATAATTCATTATACTAAAAACATCACAATTTAGATAGATGATGGCTAGCAGTGAGATTCAGAACACGAGTTTCATCCTATTTAGGACTCGTCAACTAGATACATCTATTTCACAGTTGATGGTTTACACTGCAGCTAGAATAAATTAAAAAAAAAGGAACTACTTTTAAAAAAATCCCTACTTGTTTTTTATATTTCAATTTAAACTAGGTTGATCCAGATGAAGCAGATCGTCGAATGAAACGACGTGAACGAAATCGTAAATCTGCACAAAAATGTCGTGAACGTAAAGTTCAACGAACACAAGAATTACAATCACAAGTTGAATGTTTACAATTAGAAGCTAGTAGATTAATGCAAGAATTAGAAAGTTGGCGTTCACGAGCAAAACATTGTGTTATATTATTACAACGTCATTGTCCTGGAGTTGCTGTACCATATTTGTCATGTTTAAATGAAGTACCAGTATGTTTAAATAATTTCAAAGAGCCTATAGATGATTTAAATGATTTATTAACATCAGACAAGAATATGGATTGTGAAATTCAACATTATGAATGGAAGACAAAAGCACTTGGGAAAACGTACACTATAAATGAAGTATCAGATGAAAATTTCATCTCTAATGAATCGTCATCATTACTTCCTCCAGTTAATTTGTTACATTCCCATATAACACCAAATAGATCAAAATCTTTATTTGGTTTCTCTTCAAATAATTCTGTAAAAGACAATGAAAGTCGCATTTTTACACAAAATTCTGAATCTAACAAAGTGTCAACTCTTAATCAAGAAGATCATGATATCTCAGATTCTATGTTAATTCCAATGTCAAGAAGTACTTCACAAGTATCTGTACGTGGTCCAGCCTCTGGTTCATCATCGTCATCATGCTCCACTTATGAATTATCATTTCCTTCATTGGAAAATAACTCTCATAGTTTAAGTGAAGCTATTACATTTAAAGATTATTCACAACCGAATCTTATATCGATTTTAGGCTCAAGAGATAGATCACGTCTATTAAGTGGACAAGATCTGTTAGATAACAATTCAACAATAATCATGACAAATAAATCAATCTCAGTCGGAAATAGTACAGGGAATAATGACAGTAATGGTGGTAATAGTAATAATAATCAACAAACATGGGGCTTGGAATATCATGAATCATCTGGGAATAAAAATAATTCAATGGATTGTTCTAGTCCTTTATCACCACTACCGACCACATCTTCAACAAATGTAACACTTAACCAATTTCAAAATAATAGGGAATATCAAATAAAAATGGAGTCGAACTGTTATGATCCGCCTAGTAACAGTAGTAGTAACAATACACAAATGTCAAGTAAGACATAAAACAACCAGAAGACAATAATCCGTTCTTGTTACTTGTCACTGATTTATTGATTTACAGTATTGATGCTTCTAATAGTACCAGGATTTGAAGAGAAATGAAGACAATTCTAAACTGTAATGTTTTTTTCCAATCGAACATGCATATGTTTCTCATAGGACACTTCACTGAAAACTTCGTTAATTCAACGTGGATTCATTCATTGTTTTTTTTAATTAGGGAAAACAAGTAAAATTCTTGACATTTTACATTGTTTTTGTCAACATTTTTTAATATCATTTTTATCTCAATAGGTTTATTCATAATGTTGTCGATGATGGATGATAGTTCAGGGAATCCGAATTTTTTCTCCGTTATAATTTTTTTTTCGAGACATTTTCACTTGTCCACTTCTTTTTAAAGCGCCATTGCATCTATTTATTACTCATTCTAACACATTACTATTGTTATCACAACAGTAGTATTAATATGATTTTTTTTAAAAACTGCTTAATAACATTACTCTCATTACTAATACAATTCCTGATATTACTGATACTTTCCATTAGTAGTATTAGTTGTACGTTGAATTTTTTCTTTTTCTAGTATATTGAAACAAAGTCGGTGACTACATAGAACGTTTCCGGTGATAACGGATAATAGGTATTTCAACAAAATTGCTTAACATTTTGATAAACACTTTTTTGTACGCTGTATTTTCTTCCAATCCAGTCAAAATTATTTGTATTCACAGTAAGTAAGTTATGTAGTGCTGTGAGGTGATCCTGTTGGCTGAAATTATTCAGAAATACATCATATAAAATAAGCATTCATATACACATATATGGGACAATGGCCAATTCAGGAAGGCAGCTTTGCTGTCAAACTTCTCTCAAGCATTCATAAGTTTAGCCTACTATTACAAATACTACTGTTAGTGATCTATTCGATTACATTAAGTAGTATATTCACAACGTACAAGACGGTGAAGTTGAAGTCATTACTAACATTCAAACCGGTTGTTGTTTGGCTTTACTTATGTCTCGGTTGTTCCCTTTTGTAACAGTTTTTTTCTACAGTAACTTTTTTTTGTTAAAGGAAGTTATTTCTTATTGTGTTATCTAATATTTACTATTGGCTACTAATGTTAATTTCATAATTTTCTTGTTATTACCAGTGTACCGCTTACACTATCCATTATTATTATTATCTGCTGTTTATATACTGACTTATTTAGTGATTTTGAAATGTATTCATTAAAACATGAATATTCCACGTAGTGCCTAAAAGCCCTACTCCTTACATCTTCCTGATACCAGTGCAATGATAATATTTATACATTACGCATGTACGCTGCTTTTGTTAACACATACATACTATTCAAATGGATTAGTAATTAGTATATTAACTTATACTGAAAAAGTGTTTCATTATTTTATTCACAATAACTTCGATATTATAATTATTATCGTTATTTAATCGGTTTCTATTTTCTTTTTCTTGTGATGTTTCTATTCCTCTTCATTATTATTGTTTTAATCTAGCAAATCTTAAATTGTAAACATCGGTGAATTTTTACTACACTTCAATTTAGTAATGATTTTATTACTATCATTATTATTACAAAAATACACACATATTTAGCTCAATTATTCTCAAATGATTTATTTGTTAAATTACTTGTTACGGTCTTGATTTTTGAAAAGAAGTTATGATATTTGAAATGGTGATAATACAATAGGGGGGAAGATATTGTTTCTCTCTTTCTTACTTTCATTCTTTCATCATTTAGTTGATCTAATAATCAACTATTCGGTCTGTTCATTATTTCATTGTCTTGATCATTATGGGTTTTATTGATTTTGAATTGCTTTTTTTCCTGCCTTCATTTATAAAAAAAAGTTGAGCATTATTGCTAATTAAATAATTTACTTATTTATTCATTTATTAATTAATTAATAACATTATTATTTGGTATCATTGTTATTATGACACTGTTATTCATTTTGAGTTTTTCGTAAACAGTAAATTAATTAATTAATTAAACACTATTCATGGATAAAATGGTTGAAAATCAAGTATATGGTCTTTCTGCTTTTACTTGTCAAATCTTTCTTCGATTTGAATTATTTTCTGAGATTTAAGCATATACATGGATGTGTCATTTTCATACGACATAGGAATGATACATTTCATTTCACTTAATCAGGTCACATGACACTCTTGGAAAAGATGAGTTTGCATGCTGTTATAAGTGTATGGTGGTTTTGACTTCCCAGTTACAAACACGGAAAAAGAAGCATACTTCTTCCTGAGGAACCCAATGAAGAAGGTGGATTAGTAGTGACTTTTTCGACAGGGAAATGCGACTGCAGAGGCATACGGACAACTGTTCATAGTCAGTTACACACTGCAGTTTTGTAGATTTATTTGGAGTTATCAAATTAAACTTTGGTATAGATACCTACAGTTTTGTAAATAGTTTCTGATGCGTTCTCTTCATCCGTCTGAGGCCTAACCACTGGGACTGGAGATACATATGATGTAGTACATTTAGGAGGGATTTTTCAACCCCTCCCTTCGTTAGAAAGGTAGGGATGTCGATATTGGTTGCTGGGGGGACTCCGCACTGTTCTCACTTTCCTGTACAGTCAAGATTTAAGTTGCTGTTGCTTAGTCTCTGTTTTCCAACCGACCTGGATGGTATGTTAAAACCCATGGATCAACAGTCCCAGCAAATTTAGACCATTCTAGCGTGCAAACCATATCAGGGTGGCATGATTCGCGTGTTGAACTTTTACTGTCCTGAGGCTTAACTATTTACATCTGTAAAGAAAAAAGACTACGACTGTGTGGCGAGCTGTATTACTCATTAGCATAGTGATTTTGTTGACACCACACGGGGAGATATCGGTTGCATTTTGGTTTGGGCAAGGATATGTGTGTGTGTTCCTTTAGGTAGGTGAATATTTTGTTTGCTTACAAAGGCCTACTCTAACTGTACGGCCTTTTTCTAGCATAAAATCGCATCGGCCTTGTTTGATTTGTCAGTAGTACTCCTTTATGCATAATCTATGGTGACAATTGTCAGAATCTTTTGAATCAGTGTCTAAGGACCTGAGTATTTTAGTGGTAACGTATCTGACTGATAATGGATGAGGTGAACAAGTATACAATGGAGAGTGTCAGTTTCCTCAAGATGATATGTGAGCCTCGATGATGATTACCGGGTAGTGCATAATCTGATTTTTGAATGTTCTGTCGATTGAATGTAACAGTCTAATGTTTACTTTAGTTTTTCAGCATGACATGAAAGTAAATTGTTCTGACTGAAAATAGCGATTATTTTCCTGGAAGTGGTAACAGTGTTGTTGTTCATAACGGAAGTTCATTCGAAAATATACATTCAATTAAACACTTTTCTATAAATACTAACACACAAAACAGCCATGAATATGTTTTTATCACGGTAGGTAGCAGAGAGATTGAAAGCAGTGAGTAAATTTCTGTTAGAACATGTGGATTAGATTATTTTTAAAAATAATTTCTAGCTACCTTCGGGGATCATTTTTAAAGGTTCACTGTTGTAATATGAAATTTGATCGAACTTTTTGCCAACCCTTCTGTGCAGGAAGGGATAAACACTAAATAAAGCTGTGGGATATTATGATTCTTAAGTACTTATAAATGGTTAGACTGATTCGAACAGAAAGATGTAGATGGAACTACCCTATTTGGTAAAAAAAGTGCATATATGATCACTTCCCACACATTCGTTTCGGATTTACCAAACTGTTTTAAGGTATCATTTGGTCTGTCTGATAATATTGTAGAATTCACGGAAATGGTTTCACTCATATTAGATCATTTTGATTTGTCTAGTAGGTCGCTAATTGTTTCGAGAAAAAGTTATTACTGATGATTAGCAATAAACGTGAGAGTTATTCACTTCATTTTTTAACCACCACACTGATATTTCAAAGAATATAAACAATATGTTTCCCTTGTAATTGGAAAACCAATCATTGACTAAATGTTTGCGAACTCGACTTTAAGTCATACTTTTTGCTTGTGAGTTAGTGGTACTACTGAATTATTATTAAGTAGTATATATATGTGCATAGTTGGTTTGCATGGGAAGGTATCCTGGATATGTTTATATTATGTAATCAATAAACTGTTATGTCTAGGATTTATTATATTCTTATAAATTATCATTAAATATCTAAATTTAATTAGGATATTTTGATGAGGAAGAGTTTTTGTTTGGATAGATAGACAAAGAATTTAAAGATTCCATTTGTATTTATTCAAAGTGTAAGTGTAATGAACTTTATACTAAATTATTAAGTGTCTAGCCATTGTGACCTAATCTATTAGTGATTTATAAAAGATACATTCAATATTGTATTGATGAAACCAAGTGGATTGGGAAAAAATAATTCATGCAGTGAGTTTATATTCAAAAATATTATTATACATGGCATCAAATTAAGAGGGATTATGACGATGGATTAATTTTACTTTATAACGGAGAATAATCTAGAATGACAACTTTAAGCCTGATAGATATGTATAGGTGAATTATTTTAGTAATAATAAGAACTGGATAAACTGTACTTTCCCTCTCAAAATACTTTTATTTAGAATCAATTATTTATGAACCTTGAGTAGTAAGTAGCTTTATTTCCTGTAGAATTGAACATTTAGAATGATATTTAAAGAGTGTAAATATGTTTGTTTGCTTGTCAACTAGCTCACCACTGACTTATTTTAAATTGTTGTTACAAGAGTCTAGTTGTTTTGAGAATTAAATGAAGCGTTTTGTTAAAAAAACCTTAATTGACTCTTGGTTATACATTAGCGAACGGAAGACGCATCAGCAGTGTCTATACCATTAAGCATTTCGAAGTAATATTGAATGGCAACACTTTGCAGTATTAACTTTAAGGTATTTTGTTTGACACAAAAATGATTGTTGTGTATTATCTTTCCCTATCAATCAGTCCTCTCCCGCTTATGGCCATATTGATTTGTGGCCAGGATTTTGCTTTATATAGTTGTATGAGTGATCCTTCAATTCGGACTGTATAATTAGAAGCTATCCGCTTGTTTAGCAGTTCTTTATTTTGGCTATCAGGAGAGTGAGTGTGGAAAACTGCGTTTTGGGTTGATGGTCATTTAGTGTTACTCTCAGCTGCTAACTCACATTTGGAATGTCACTGGCTATGCGAAAGACACTGGTGGACAGTACAGGTGAACAAATCAATACTCGGACTATATTAATAAAACTGCTCTCATTTCTTACGATACTCAAGTAACTAAACAAGAAAGCCTGCTTATTCTCACTGATACACTAAAAACCCTGAGCATAAACCACTGCTCACTGTAGGATTCAGGGTCTTAGATAGAGGGATGACGTACAAACATACTTTGCTTACTAGGTATTATAAATATCGCTATCTTATGAATGAATCTCTTAGGCTATCAGTAAGAGAAGCGTTCGCCTGAGAAAGCTAATATTGCCTTGTGACAGCTGAACAAAATTACTTGACAAAGCACTAGTCGGAATTCTGATTCTAATTTGGGCTATTTCGCATCCACCATTTACTCCTTGGTTTAATCAGTTGCACGCCCAATCAGCACCAGTAACCGATTGGTTTACAACTATCTAGCTTTCCTCTGCCCTGCCCTTGAGTTCAGAAGTCAGCCGCTACAACTAATTCTGGAAATTACCATTCCTTCAATTTTCGTTCTGATATAACAGCCATTACCTTTGATCTGAGTATGTGAGCAGTATCACGATCAAACACCCCAACCAATGAACACTAGCTCAGAATTAACAAGGCGTTATATAATCACTCTACTGTCTCCACTTCTTCATTATATGGGATGGTGTTAGTAGAAAATATACGCACCGGACGAACTATGAATCTTACCAGACGGGAACATTTTAAATGAGTTAGCCCTTTATGTTACTACCACATGTAGGTCAACTGCCATTGAAATCCTACTTAGATACTATATATTGGCTCTTACTAACCCACATTTTCGTACTGAAATAAAAACTGACGGTAAAATTTTGTGTCATCGACTGTCAGAAGCAGAACTGGGTTATGTATGTATGATCCAGATGTCCTGTGGACTGTAGCCATGGACACTATGCTTTGAAAATCGAGTCCATCTCAGGTACGAATAGGGGACGTTACTCTCAGCAGTTCGAGTTAGGAAATGGTGTTCTAAGGGGGAAGCTGCTAAGGTAAAGTAGCTACGATGTTATTAGTATAGTTATGTTTTCTAATTTGGGTGGTTTAACTGAACTTTCATTGTCCTTGTGAACAACAACACCCACTTCACGTAGAAGTGAACTGCTCATTTAGTCCACAAATTTCAGAAGCCTGTTCTCGTAACATTTCAAGTGAATGGTCGTTATCAACTATTTGCAATCAGCAGATGTATTGTTATGGATCATATTTATCAACCTATAAGAAAAAGGCCAACCAATCACGTGGCCAGGGGTCGACAGGAATACTAAGATAATACGAAAAAAACCCACTGATGGAATCATCCGAAAGGGATGGTTTGATACTTGAGTACTAAGTAAAAAAAAGGAAACTAGCTAATTTCGGTTATATGTAGTGCTTTCAGTATATGATAAATTTTTAGTATTTTCTTTCCGTTATTGATCTGACTCCAGTAATAAACGCTTTCAACAGATCTCGTATCTTATTAGGTCGGTAACGTCAACATACAATTAAATGATTAAACACACAAGTTATCAAATGAATTCATTTTAAGCTGACTTCAGCAGCAAATTAGACTTCAATTCGGCGCGAAAGTACAACTTTCAGAGTTAATGTGTTTTCAAGAAATCGAAGGAAATACAAACAAAAATTGGAATACACAACTGTAGAAATTTAAAGGTATTTCCGAAGTCGGATGCGATGGGGCTACTACAAACTAATGTAATTCAAGAACAAGTACTTAGTTCCAACGTAAACATATAATTCACATTTACTGATATTCGGGAATTTATGGCTGCACACAATATCATTACTCTAAATACCGGATAAGTTTGTT